TTTCCAGCTCTTAAGCTAACTGATAGGGGATGATTTCTTACATAGATCTCTTGTGGGGATTCGAGAGAGGGGAATCTTTTATCTAAATTTACATTTAAAACAATTTATTTAAGAATTTTTTTAATAGTGTAAAGTGGGGTTTCAGTGAAGCTGATAAGGAGTTCAGTAACAGCAGAGATAGCAGCCTGAGACTTTAAAGACCTAGCCTTGCAACATGTATTACCAGATACGTGAACAGATAGCCTGAACAGTTAGTGTGTAGTACTAGATTCAGTTCATTTTGAAGAACCTATGTGGAAAAAGCTACCATGTATACTGTAATTGCCTGTTAGATTTGAATGATTGTTTTTACTTTTCAGTGTAGTGCCTTTTATCTGATTTAACCCTTCTGGACAAAGGTGTCTAAAAATAAGTCCTGGAAACTTGTTTTAGTGGTGTAAACATGTCAAGCTTTAATTACAGTAATTAAATGGTCCTGGTATAGAGTTAATTTTCTTCCTAGTAGTTGATGCAGTGCTGTGTTTCAGCTTTAGTGTGAGAATAATGCTGATAACACACTGGTGTGGTAGTTGTTCCTAAGTAGTGCTTACGCTGGTCAATGACTTTCCAGTCTCTCATGCTCTGCCAGCGAGGAGGAGCATGGGAAGCTGGGAGGAAGCAGAGACAGGACACCTGATCCAAACTAGCTAAAGGGGTATTCCATACCACATGACCAGTATATAAAATAGGGAGACTTAACCAGGAGGGACTAATTGATGCTCAGGTTGGGCTGGGTATTGATCAATGGGTGGTGAGCAATTATATTGTGCATCACTTGGGTTTGCTTGGATTTTATTCCTCCTTTCTCCCTTTAATTACTATTATTATGAGTTTTACCTTCTAATTATTCTCCTCTCAGTCCCACTGTGGGGTGAGAGGGAGAGCGAATGAGCAGCTCCTTGGTATTTAGTTGCTAGCTGTGGTTAAACCACAACAACTTGTTTTGTCAAAATTCATGCGTATAAATTGTCTTAACTATTTTAAAGGCTCCTCTGATCTGTTCCTATTCATATTTTAAACTTTGAACCAACAATTTGTTTCAGGACTGAGTCCTCCCTTGGATTTAGTGTACGGCTTTGGTTTTCCTGTGCATCTTTGATACATTGCTTGCTTCTTGAATTGCAGATGCCCAAAATAATAGCTCATCAATAACTTAACACTTGCACCAGCCCAGGGGATTAAAACTTTATCAAGGCAGCCTTGAACTTCTGTATTAGCCTGAAGGGAAATGCAACCCTGAAACTGAACTAATGCAGCTTCTGTTTAGACCTGTGACACATCACATGAGATGACTCATCTTTCTGTCCTTTGTTCTATATACTGATGTCTTGAAGGACCAGTGTTGCATTTTTCCCCCCACTGATGACAGAGGTTTGCTTGCATAATCATCTCACTATTAGCATCCTTTGTATTCAGTGAAGGAGTTTAGACTGCCTTTATCACTAGAGTAAGCTTGACGCTTGAGTCCGTAATTCACATCTGCAAAAAACAGAAAAACGATATATCACTTGGCAGTTTGCTTTGTAGAAACTTTGATTTAGAAGATTTAGAACTCTGAATTTTATTCCTTAACTACTTCTGTTGAGTAAATACTTGATATTTGTCAGTTGATGCTTGCTGTTTGAAGAACAGTTGTAAACCTCTGCTTAGTGGTAAAATCTAATTGTTCCTACACCTAGGTTTGTAAAACCGGATAGACCTATTGTCATAGCATTTCTCATTATTATATGTGTTTCTATATACTGAATGTCTTTGGCTCTGGTAGGAAGTGTTTTGGGTTCCACAGTGTCATGGTTTAAGCCCAGCTGGTAACTCAGAACTGTGCAGCTGCTTGCTCACTCCCCCCCCCCCACAAACACACACACCCCTTCTTCCTCCTCTGGCTCCCAGAGGGATGGGGAGGAGAACCAAAAGAATGTAAACCCTACAGTTGAAATAAGAACAGTCCAGTAACTAAGGTATAATACAAAACCACTACTGCTATCACCTGTGAACCCAGGACACACAGCCTACATTCTTGTTAGGAAATTGGATGGTATTTATACTTTCATCTGAATTCTGGAGTTATGCTACTAGAGCCAGACCTGAGTGAGCTTTTCAGAGTCAATATGGGCCCAACACTATTTGGTCTTCATAAGTGATCTGGATGCTGGGGTTAGATATGTAATCAGAGTTTGAGAATGATTTCAGTCTGGGAGAAGTATATATGAGAGAATGAAGAGCCACTGTAGAGACATTGACAGGTGGGAAGATTGGGCCAACAAGAATGGCATCAGGTTTAGCAGATGTTAAGGCCTTCTCTTGGAACGCATTAATTGCACAGAACAGTTTATGCTGCGGTTTGACTGGTTGGGGATGGCTATGCTGAAAAGGAACTGGAAGTCCTAGTGGACAGCAAGCTGAGCATGAGCCGGCAATATGCCCTGCAGCAGAAAGGCAAACAGTGTCCTGGGCCTGCATCATCAAGAGCATAGCCATTAGATCAAGGGACATGATTGTTCCAACTGTGCTTTGTGCTCTCAAAGCTACAGATGGGAATGTAGTGTCAGGATGTGGTCCCCTAGTTTAAGAGACTGAGAAACTGTTAGAGGCTCCAGTGGAGGCTTGTGAAAGTGATTAGAGGGTTACAGTAAACCCTTTCAATCATATAGAAGGGTTGGAAGAATTCTTTCTTCAGCCTAGAGAAGAAGAGGATTGGGGATGACTGCATTTTTAGCTCCTGTAGATAGCAAAGCAGCTTAATGCTCTCAAAGAATGGACTAAAGGGAGAACTGAGCCAAAGTTAAGGACAAAATTGTTAAACTCTTTTCTTTACCCAGAATACTTAATGTTGTAGGTAGGCCTTTCTGTAGTTGTATAGCTGCGTTCAAACAAGAACTTCTAGAATGTTTTGGAAAGCATGATATTTCATTGCCATCACTAGCCTTTGATAAAGGATGTCTTTACCTTGTTGTCCTGCATTCAGCAAAAAGCTCTAACATACGAGTTGAAATTGCCAGTGGCTTTTTGTACTGGGGGTGGGGGGTGGGGTGGGGGAGAGAAAAAGAAAATGTATTTTAACTGTATTTTAATTTTTCTTTTTTTTTTTTTTTAAGCTGTAGCTCTGAGTGACAGGTCAGGCTTTCAGCTATGAAGTCCTGAAATGCTGAGCAGATATCTGATAGTCTACCTTATTCTCTAGGAGTCTATGGTAGAACCAATTCTAATACTTCATAGCTATGAAAAAGTCATGTAGTGCAAGCTGTCAAAGATCTAGCTGAATGTGTTCTTTGCTAGTATATACTTCAAGAAGGAAAATACTGTTCTCCTACTCTTATTTCTTTACAGTGATTTAACAGGTACCACTGTTTCCTTGGGTTTGAAGCCTGTTGAGACAAACATATGCTGCCTGCTTGTTGAACTTAAATGACGCTATTCCAATAATTTACTGGTAATTGGCATTCTGAACATAAGAATTATTATGGAACCTAATTCCATAGTAAGTGAACAAGGCTGTCGGACTGTTAAAACTTCTGTTTTATGCTTAGGTAGCCTAATACTTGGAGGAATGTTGAAATCATGAAATATTGTTGCTTGCAGAGTGGAGCTTAAATCTGTGGGCTTGATGTCAGAAATTTATATTGAAATGGTTATCAATTTAAATAGTTAATGTGGTTTGGAGCTACAATACTAGTAAATAAGACCCCTTGTTTAAAGGGGCTTAGAAATGGGTGTTGGTAGCAGGGTATACAGCATGTTGAAAAACACACAAAAAAATGGACTCTTTCTTGCTTTGAGTACAATGCAGTTGACATTAGTATGTCTGAGTAGGTTCTTCAGCAGGTAAAATCAAGTCTTCTGTACAGAAAGCTCATGTAAACTGGCAGCATGTATCGTGACATTTATAACACTAGCATTTGTATTATATCTATTCTCAGTATGAAATGTAAAGCAGTGTTTGAAGGAGGGAGTAGTATTCCTGTGAAAATCTGGAAAACTGCTCATTTATCAAGTTAGCAGATGTTCAGATATCAAGCAATCTAGAAAAACTGCAAGTTATTTGTGATTAAGAGAAAGAAAAGAACAGCCTTCCTGTCAACCTCTGCACCTAGAACAATCTATCACCAACAGGCTGCCACCCACAGTAACACAAATAAAAAGCCTATGGCTGATGTCTCTAAACTGATTGGGGAAACTTTGGACCTTGTCCTGTATCTATAAGACTTAGGGGATAGAAGGGAGGAAATAGTGGCATTTTCTTTTCGATTATCTCACTTCAAATGTTTCTTTTATAGTAGAGAACTTACAGACTTTGCCTTGGGAAAATCTGGACATAGTGCTGATGTAGAAACTGGCAAATGCTTTGGTATAGGATTTACTAGGAGTAAATGCCAGTAAAATTTATGAATATGAATAGCTGTCTAGACAGTCTTGGGGTATAAATGAGTTTAGGTGTTCACCATGCTTCTGCCGTGTCTTTTTACTGCACAGTTTTTTCTAGTAAATCAAGTACTTCCTACGTAATTTCATTTTTAAAGTAAGTTGAAGACTGCTGTCTACAAAGAAATTGTGTATACTTTGCTTCTAAAACTAAGTTCAGTAACTAGTAATTCCTATATTATGCAATGTTTTGATTATGATCTAAAGTGGGAAAATAATGTTTTGGGAAGCTACATGATTTGACAAAACCCCCCAAGAAGTAGCTTGAAAAATCTTCAGTGGGATATGCTTATGTGAAGTTTCAATATATGCTATTGTCTTGGTGATCCTGAAATGCTTAAATACCGCTGGAACAATGCAGGACACTGGAAGCTGCATAGCATGTTTGTTACAGTTTGCTCAAAAAATTAAAAGAATTGGTTGTCTTAGGAGAACAGTGGGGGAAAAAAAACTAGCAGCGATACCTTATAGCTGCAACTTGCAGCAGTCTTAGTAGATGAAAATGTATGGAAGAAAATTTGAATATGTCTCTTTTATTTTAGGCTTATGGTATGTCGGCTTTGCCTCTAAACTTGATTAAGGGAACTACCAGTGCAGCTTATGAACGTTTAGAGAACACTGAAGATATTGAAGAAGTGGAACAACATTTATTAAGGATTAAATCAAAGGTATGATCTTCACTGTTCTCACATCATTAATGACCTTTTTGGTTGGTTTTTTTTTTTTTTCCACTTGTTTGCTTACTAGGTTATGTTCATGCTGTAGAGTTTTTTTGCTCCAGAAAGAATAGCAATTCAGAAGTGACTAGCTTGCAGTTATTTGACTTATTTGGAAACAAATGTGGTCTCTAGTGTAGTAGCAATCAGGTTTTCTTCCAGTCCTGCAGCGGTTGTTGTTTTTGTTTAGTTAATAATGGTGCTGATGAGCCGAACTCAACCTTCTGTAGTCCTGCTTGGGTATATGGAAGAGATACTTTACAGAAAAATACTACCTTCCCTTAGTCTGCTACCAGTAAGGCATCCAATTTGTTGATACTCAGTGGAGCTGTTAACTCTGGATAACTTGCTATATGGAGCTGTCATGAGTTAGATTCATCAAACTATTAATCATCTTTATGAATAAATGACAGCCCTAGATATTCTTGCTTCCTAGTTAATGTACCTTGCTGTTATAAATGATTTCTTTATGAAAAGCACACATATGCAAATTTCTGTTCTGAATCGTAAACACCCCTAGGATGTTAACACCATTTGTAAACCCATGAGGACTTTGCAGCTCACTGAAATGCTGCGCTTAACGTAAGCAGGACGCTTTGAACAATTTGGGAGTGCAAGCCGAAGGAGGATAAGATTTATCCTTTACATACAAGATGCTAGGGATTATCTTCCACCCTTTTCTCAACCCTTTTTCAGAAAATGGTTTGGCCAGTGTTTTCAAGCCCGTAGTGGGGGGAAGGGACATTAAGATGCATTGCTTTCATCCTGGCAGTCCATCTGTGCTATTGTGTGCTCTGTGACAGTAGGCTTAAGCAGTATTGAAACAGTTCCAGCAGTCTTCCCTTGATACTTGGCTACCTCTACACAGTGTAGGCACCTTCAGGGTTCTAGAAATCCTGTTGCATAATGAAACCTAAAAAGTAGTCTCCCACAGTTTAAATTATGAGGTTTGGAGTTTATACAGAGTACTGCAACTACGAATGTATCAGTATTACTGGAATCAATATGAGAAAAATGAGACACCCCTGGAAAATTACTTATTACAGATGATTGTTGGCTTATGAGAGTTTTCATGCAACTGGTCTTGTTTGATCTAACTAACAAACAGGATCAAAAATTGAAAATCTCTAAGTTATGTCTATATTTTAATGTGAGCATTAGTATAAACTAATTTTTTTTGGCATATGGATTATGGTCAGGATTCTATTGCAGTCTGACTGAAATCCTAGTTCTTCAGTTGCATTTTCATGAAGTTGTAAAGAAAATGGTGTTACTGAAAGAAATGTACAGTGAAAACTGGAAGCACGTAAGTATGCTCCTTAACCTAATGAAAAAAATCAGCATGTAATATGGTCACCTGCTATTAGTAAACCTGGAAATGAGTAATACTAATTTCATTAGTATTAAGTAAGCGAAGCTTGACTTGCAGCCGGAGAGGTTGAACTACTTGCAAAAAGTGACTTTTTCAAGTCACTGTAATGCTACACAGGGTATGGAAAATGTGTTCCTGTTAAAAGTACATTGTGATTTCCAATTTAAATGTTACATGTGCCTAGAATGTGGTTTTAGTGTTGCAGACTTTTTGAGAAATTTATCTAAAATAGATTTACTTTACCAATTGCAAAGTTTCACTCGAAGAATCTTTATATAAGGATCAGTTTGTTATATGGTAGCATCCATGTTGTAAACAATTGTGGTTTGGCTACTTAATGCCTCTTTTGTTGCTTTTGCTTATTAGTGTATAACTGAGATTTAAGGATGTGCTACTCAATTTACAACAGAATTCAGTGATGCCTGCTCAGTATTTAGAGGCTCAGAATTGCAGACAACTCTTAAACATGATCATCAAACAATTGTCTAGTACACTCAACTAATTTTTTGGGTAATGGCGCCTCTTGTTTAGATTTCTGAAAGGTTAATTTTTGGAACAGCAAGTTGTCTTGTTCTTATAAGTACAAGAAACGTAGCTGACTGTCTAGTGAAATGCTGGAAAGAAATATAAATGTCAGTCTTACATATTGGCTTAGTCATGAAATTAGATTGGAAGGGGCTTCAAAGTAGAGGTTTGAACCTGATAACACAAAGTAAGGATTTCTTTCAGGTTAGATCAGGTTATTCAGGTCACATCTGGGCATTCTGAGTGTTTCTAGCCGTGGAGACTGTCCACTCTGGCTAATTTTTTTTTTTAACATCCTCATTGTGGAAAGTTTTCTACCATCTAATAGGAATTCCCTTATTGCAGCTTGTGACATACATTTCATCCTCTTGGTATGCATAGAAACAGTGTGAATTATGTACTACAAAGTCTTCCACTATTTTTTTGGTAACCAGTGCAGAGATGGTCGTCCTCTGTCATCAAGGGATAGACGGGCTTTACAACAACTGGAAGAGAGACTAAGGACGCTTCGAAGAAGAGAGAGGCATTTGGAGTCTATTGAGAAAAGCTGGTGGACAAAGTTCTGTGAAGCTATCCGACCTCTAAAGGTAAAACTTTTTCTCGCTTTTTGGGACTTAAACTGGAGTAACTTCCAGCTTTCTTCCTCCCATACAAATCATAGGTCAAGTTTAACAATTACCATCCTGAATATTAGCTATTTATTTTTTAAGCTACTGTTACACTATAGAACGGCAGTCCTATCGCAAGCTCCGAATTCTTGGAAAACTTTTTACTTTGCGTAAACTGCGGTTAAGATTGAAAATGAGCAAATCCTAGATGACCTACTGTAGTGCCACTGCCATGGAAAATCTGAATATCTTATCTTTCCTCAGGCATGTGAAAATGGGAAGAAGGAAGAATTCTAGCTGTCAGGTAGCTTAGGTTAATCCAACTTACATGTAGCCAACGGAAGTGAGAGGTATTTTGAGAATATATGCATTTGGAATGAGCATCTTGCCAAGTACTTGATCAGTAGTGAACTAGCCACATAGAACTTGATACTTAACAGTGGAAAGAAGACTGTTATTGGGGTAAAGCTTTGATCTTAGTCTCTTTTGGTGATTTCGGTAGATAACTGGTTTTAAAACCCAGTACTTTTATGGAACAGTATTGCCATATAACTTATTTTTTTTGCCAGCTAGATGCAGGAAGAAATTTTAGCATTACTTTAAACTGTAGGCTGCCCTTTGAAAAGCCAAGGCGGGGTATAAGCAATTTCCTCTAATGCCATTGCTATTGTTAATGCTGAGTACCAATGGAAAGGGCCTGAAATTGCAGTTAAACAAAAACTTTCAATGTGAAGTTCTCGGTGGAGTTATCTTTCTATGATACTTTAGAAAGGTAGACTAGGTTCTTTCATTTAAAGGACAAATATCCCTACCTATTCACTCCAGTAATTTGGATGCTTCCTTTGATTTTTTTTAATAGCTTGTGTAGTTTCTTTAGCTTTTCACTTTAACCTTTAATTTGAGAAATTGGTTATATCTACTGTCTGTAGGACTTTAACAATTCATCATATTCTCATAGGATAGTGTACAATATCATTAGTTACTGCTAATTACAGATTAATGGTCAGGATGACATTTTAGTGTCTGTTCTTGTGGTTTGAATACTTATCTTTCCTCTCAGTAACTGTAGCAGTCTCTGTGGATTGTTGACTTTAAGAATCAGACTAAAGGGGAGTTCAAGTGCCTGGTTTTTTGGTTTTTTTTGTTTTTTTTTTCATGACAGATTTTAATGCTGAGTAGGGTTGTACTACAAAGCATGCTACAAAGCTTGTTTACTTTGATTTTTTTTTTTTCCTTAGAGCTCTCCTGTGAAGGTGTTAATGTTCATCACTTAATAGCATCTCAACTCTTGCAAGACTGTTTTACTTTAATAGTGTTTGAATTGTCTTTGCACATACGTAACTTGTCAATTGTTCAGTTTGTGGCTCTCATGAAGAGAAGGGAATCTTTTAATATCCCTGTGTAGTACTTCTGACAAATAAAGGAGTGCAGAAGTTTTCTTGGAAGTGTTGTAAAGCAATAAGCAAAGCTCCATATTTAGTGCAACTTGTATGTTGTTATTCAAGAATATGGCCATTTGTCATACTTGAAGAGAAATTCCATTTGTTGTGAAATAAGAACTAGATGTGGAGAATGCTATTTCTGCTTTGTGTTTAGGAAGGTCAGGTTTATGGGAGTTGCAGATTCTTACTGGGATTGACAGCAGAATAACATGTTCAGGAATAGCACTTGGTCTTGGAGGTACAGTGTTAATTTAGTGTCTACATTTGGACTTCTATAATCATATTGTGTTTGCATAATGTCCTCCTATATTCTTGCTTTAATTATTTTGTTTCTGCTGAGTATCTATTAGCATGTGATTTGCTGTTAAACATAGCCAAGTCTTTTCTCTGAAGAATAAACCTTTTTTGATGTGGAATAACGTAAATTTTGAGAACAATTTCTTTACTCAGAGCTAAATCAAACTGAGATGAAGCTGGTTATTTTTCAGTTTAGTCAAAAACAACACATGCAGAAGATCCCAAGGAAATGAGTAATGGTCAGCATGGCGTTGTCCGGTGATATCAAATTGGTCTAACTTCTTCCTACAAAATGTAACCTTTCCTGTAGATACCAAATCTACCACTTCTCTCTTCTGTATTATGTTTTCTTACACTTTCATCTGACACTCAGCAGTAAGAGAAATATGGTACACTCTAGGGATAGGTATAAAAGCTGTTTAGGGAAAAAACCTAAACAACTCCAGAGCACTTAATTATGTTCATTCAGTATGTGAACAAGCATACAGCCTGTGAAATATGGAAGCCTAGTCAACAACGGTAAGTTGGGACTACTGAATCAGTTTCTCAAGGGGTACTTCAAAACAGTTGTGAACCAACTGAAGAGATGCTGAAGGTGAGTAGTATAAGAAGAAGACTCAGTCTTGAAGGTTGAGACCTATGTGTACAAAGCATGCTCATGGGGCTTAGCTTAAGTAGGGACTCAAAGGCATTTGTGTCAGTCCAAGCATATATGCAGGCTACTGCAGAGAGCAGCATTCTCTTGGTACACTTGAACTCCAGCAAGGGAGAGAGAAATTCTTCTCCTATCTAACATTAAGGATAGTAAGGACTTTGTATAGATCAGTCAGTCTCTCTGCCTCATTTTTTAAATGGGCTTTTGATTCACACACCCCTGAGAGCTGAAGCTGGGTTCCTCGAATAACAGCTATGCTGGCAGAGTGTTAGTGCAGACTGTAGGTGCTGTCAGGAGTCAGTTTAGTTGCCCCAGAGAGGTGGTGTGGCTAAACTGACCGACTTTCTTACTGCATTCACAGCTGCATCTTCAACATCAGGGAGGTTGGCAGCATGAAAACAAGAGGTGTGGATATTTCATGTCCTAAGTTTGCATAATGATAACTCAATACCAAGTGTTTTGCTTCATCTAACCTGTTGGCCAGGTTACCTGAAACTTCCTGTAAGAGGCATGCAACAGGGTGATGGATTGACTTGGCTGGCTGTCAGATGCCAACCCAGATGCTCTCTTGCTCCCCATCAACAGGATGGGGGAAGAAATAAGATGGAAAAATATGTGGACTGAGACAGACATGGCAATCACCAGTTACTGGCATGGACAAAACAGAATTGAGGACAATTGCCAATTAACAATGATTTGAATGGTCAAAACCAAAGACCATTCAAAACACCTTCCTTCCCCCCCACCCCCTGTTTCTCATGTTCAACTTTACTTATTTAGTCCCGACTCTGGAGTGGCACAATGGGAATGTGGAATAAGGAGTTGCCATCAGTTCATAACACTTCTGCTATTGCTTCCTTCTCATACTTTCTCACTGTTCCAGCACTGGTCTACTTTGTGGGCTGTAGTTCCTGTCAAGAGAACCTGCTTCAGCATGCAGGATCTCTAAGCTGCATCTTCCTTCAGAAAATACCTACTTGTTCTGGTGTGGGGTCCTCTAAAGGCCAAGTGTGATTATCTGCACAGTCGTCTTTAACAGCCTAGGTAAGGATGTCCATTGCCTGGAGCAGCACCACCTTCTGTGAGATTGGTATCTACAAGGCTGTTTCTCTTCTTGCTCCTGTCTGTGTTTTCTTGTTTCTTACCTATGTTTTTCCAGAGGGGCCACCAGCTTGGCTGCTGAGCTCAGCTTGGCCAGCAGTGGGTCAGCTGGAGCCAACTGGAAATGGCTGTGTCCAGCACGGGGCTGCCTCTGGCCTCTTGTCGGAGAGGACACCCCTACAGCCCCTCTGCTGCCAAAACCTTGTCATGTAAACCCAATAAAAATAGTGTTTCCCATGAGGAATCTAACTTTGCTTCTTTGGCCAGTTATAACTCTTAAATAATGTGCTGCCAGTTTTCTTCACCCTGGTGATGGATACCAGCCCTGAACGGATGACTGCTGCTTTACATTTTGGGTGTGGCATCAGTGTTAGTTCACAGTCTTGGGATAGCTGTCCTAAGTGGTTCACAGTTTCTCTTTTTTTTTTTTTTTTTTTGTTGGTATGCAAGTGCCACTGTAGGAAACAGGCAGTATTCTTATAGCTTCTTGGAGGGGAGAATATTAACCATTTCCAGAAGTTAATTTGAGGTGTTTAAAAGTAGTATCATATAAGTTTGTGGCTCATGTGGTTATTTCTGCTCAGACTAAATGAAGTCATAAGTTCCAGGTTTATCTCAGCAGCACACATTATCTGTCAATGAAGCAACTTAGCCTGATAGAGATCTGGGAGCAGGGATAGGAGGCAAAGAAGTCACTGAGTAACTTAAGCATGATGCAGGGATCAGGGGAACATTTAGGAAGTTTTGCCTCTGCTTCCTCCTGGCTTCCCCTCCTCTCTGGCAAAGCATGAGACTGAGAAAGTCCTTGGTCAGAGTAAACATTACTTAGCAACAACTAAAAACATCGGTGTTATCAGCGTTGTTCCCAGACTGAAAGTCAAAAACACAGCACTGCACCAGCTACTAAGAAGGAGAAAAAAATGACTGCTGTAGCTGAACCCAGGACAAAGTTGAAGGGAGGTACTAGAGAAAATGATTTAAGCAGAACATGAATAATGTAAGAAAAGACTTAGCAACTTGGTATTTGATTATGTGTGGTAGTAGTGGAAAAATGTACAAATCAATTGATTACATCTAAGTTATTTGGTTTGACGTAAAAAATGAAATACAATTCTGTGACCTAGAAGTAGTATGCTTTCATTTTTACTCCTGAGATATGCCTGTATTGACATTTTTGTCTTGGTTTTTGCTTAGCCATGTCTTTTAATACTACGTATTCAAATCTAAAACAAAGCTTTAAGTAAACTTATTCTTACTGTTATCTGCTTTAGCTGCTTCGTTACCTGTGTTAGAGGCTTTCTATTGAGATGCTTAAGGAACTCATTTCAGGCAGCAGTTATAAGTTGTATTAGTAGGTCTTATTTCAACTCATTGTTTTTTGTAATATCTGCAGTCTTGCATAAAAGCATGGTTCAATGGATTTTGACAGTTACTCTGATGCATACTAGTTTGTACAACAGGTTGTAGATTAGAAGAGCTAAGCAGACACTTAGAGGTCATCAGAGTGATGTAAGTGCAAGCCAGCAGCTCTGAAACCTGTTCTGTTCTGCAAATGATTGAATACAGGTGTGTGTTGTAGCCGAGGGATAAGAGGAAGTGGCCTGGCAATGGATCAGTTCAAACTGTAGTGGAGGAGCTTACATAGCATGAGGTATGGTTGCAATGAGATTCTGCTTTCAGAAGGACTAGGGAGTAGGAAATAAGGTTGTCTTTCATTAGAAGTTAGATTTACCTTAATATAGATCAAGGGTTGCTTGCTTTGTTTGGTTTTTGTTTTAGTTTTTGGTTTTTTTTTTTTTTTTTTTTTTTTTTCCCCATAATGGCTTAACTAAATTCCTGTGTGATATTTGGCTGAGACCCAGTCTTTTTCTTTTCACCTGTTTTAGTATACAAGCTTTTTAGCATCAGTTGACAAATAGTCCTGCTGTGAGAACAGGAGGTTTTGATTAAGTGCTGTCCTTTGCTCTGAAGTTGAACATGTACTCGTGTTCTCAGGGGCTTGGATTCCTTCTCATTTATGCTGTGACACAAGCAAAATGATTTTGTAAATTTTCATGGCTAAGTGTATTTAGGATCTTTCAAGATAATTTTAGTTGGTTCAAAGCTAGTAAACAGCATACAGTAGTTTTCCAGTAAGATTGTCAATGACAGATATGTCCTTTGCTATAGGTGCCAAGTAAAAGGCGACAGTGACTGCTGCAGCTCCTGCTGCATTGTTTTTTTTTCTAGCCTGTCTTAAACTTTATGTGTTGGGGGAAGGAAATGAATTACTTATTCTTTTGTTTACCTGGATACCAAATGATACCCTACTGGAGATACGCTTTTAATTTTAGTCAGGTTGATACCACTCAATGAGGCTCAATTGGACTGTCTAAGCTGCAAGCTCAACTATTAGTCTGAGTGTTGGTATTCTCTTGATTGTAGGCCAAGTGCTGGTTAATAAACTAGGAATGAGGAGTTGATTGGTTTGCAGTCAATTGAGGTATGAGGAAAATCTAGGCAGGAACACAAAGATCCCTTCTGTGAAAGGACTATGTCAACTGATGCTTTGAAATTGTGTAAAGGTAGGTTGATGTGAGTTACAAATCACTTATGGTTCAGTAGTCTTAATAGCTTTGTGAAAATACAGGATGAACTAAGGTAGACTGAAGGCCTTTAATATTAGACTTTTCAGTCTCGTATTTAATGAGAATGTTGAAATGGGAAAAGAGGTCTTTTTCAACTACTTAACTACTTCTGAGAGTGTTATGCATCACTTTGGAAGACGCACATATTCCAGAGGAGGTACAGATACCTCTCTACCCTTGTAGTTGGCAAAAGTTAATGAAGTAATGCAAACTTCAGACTCTGCCTTAATTGTTTTCAAACATCTATTTCTTGTACAGCTAATACCGAATGGGATTTTGCTGTGGAGAGGTAAAATCATAGTACGCTTAAATATGTAGGATTGTGCGAGTTAATATTTACCTTGATATTAATCTCTAAATCAGTACCTAATAAAGCCTGCAGTATTTGAGTTGTTTTATAAACGATGTTCTAATACTCTTTGAGTTTGCTTATCTTCAGAATTTAATGAACAATAATAGCATTGTTACACTGAGTATCTTTAATGAGCAGTTGTAGCAAAACTTTTAACCTTTTCAAGATGGCTGTGTGCCAAGTTTTAAGGTTAATAAAAAAATTTAAACCACATAACTGCTCATGTGGAAGACTCTGCATTGTGTTCCTGCATATAGACTTACTTCCAAATCAGATCTAGGTTGTCTCAGGTCTGGCAATCTGAAAATAATCTTGTCTTGGGAAATTCAGCATGCTTATCTGAGCATATTCTGTGATGAGAGTTTCTAGGAAAGTACAGTGAACCTGTTGGAGGTCTAACTGAATGAGTTTGCTATCTGGGCTCACTTTTGTGTACCATCCCCTAACACCCCCCACCAAAGAAATGAGGGAGAACACATGCCAAAGAAGTGAAGAATGAGTTCCTGAACTAGCTTTGTAGCCCAGGAAAAACCATAGGAGCTGTTCTTGTAGAGGACAGCTTGGAGAATGAAGTCCCTGGCTTGAGTGCTCTGGACAAAATAAAAATGCTTTCCTGTGTTTAATTAAGATCTTAAAGAACAACCTTACTTCTCCAGATCTACTTGATTCAGAGCATTTGTAAAAACTGAAAGAATCTTCCTCTAAAGATTGAAAATGAGAAGGAAATGGGGAAAACAGTGTAGACGTATCAGAATACTACTTTCAGTTCTCTAAATTTACTGCTATTTTGCTTGAATTATTCCTGTTTAAAATAAACTTATACCATGATTATATTCAGGTACTAAATCATCTGGCTTTTTCAACTGTTTGCTTATTTTAATCTATCCCTTTTTGTTGTGGTTTAACCCCAGCTGAAACAAGGACATGCGTAAGACCTGAGAAATCCATCTTAACTGATGCGGAACCCTTAACTGATGTGGTTGGTTTACAAAAATCTTCGTTTACTCCTGGTAAACTTAATTTAGAGTTTTGTATGCCACTTGGCTTAGCTGAGAGATTCTGTTCTTATTTTGTACATCAGGCAGTTCTGTAATAGTGTACAGGAGCTTGCAAAGAAAGCCTGCTATTGCTGATTCTAAAAACAATAGCAGTATCTGATTTAATTACAGTGGTACTTAAAAATTTTTGTCTGTACTTATCTATACTTATGACTTCCTGGCTAAATAACCACAGCTGTTCTACTTGTTTCTGTTTCGAATTACTGAATAGGATATACACTCTAAAGGAAGATTGTGGGGCAAATGACTCGCCTTGTGCAACTAAAGGGGTATGGAAGCTCTTCTAGAACCTTCTTCAGAAGAGAGAGGCTTTTGGCAGTTCTGATGTAGTTGTAGTAATCTCAATCACTTGTGGATAGATAGTGTTTTAGAATAACAGTAGCACTTACCTGGATTTTCTTGAAACTCAAGTTGTTTTTTCCTACTACCTGAGTATTTATAAGCATTTTTTCTTCTAGTCCATTCCCAAGTCTTTACTTCAAAGTTAAATTTTTAGGTGAGTTAAACCTTTAAGTCAAAATACTTTGTCAAGTTGATGATTTCTGTAACTTGAACCTTGAAAAATGCTTTGAAATACGCAATACTGCTGATTAACTGAGAAGACTTGCAGGCAGAAGAAAGAAAGGTAGACCTAGTATTTGGGCTTGGTTATTTGAATTTTACAGTACTCATTCCAAGTGATTTGGTCATTGAGTGTTTTTGAGTAGGGTTACAGAAGGGACCTCTTGCTTGGGAAAGGTGAAATTAAGCTGTGCATAGGTTGCCTTGTGTGGGAAGGTGAACACAGAGGTGTGCTGGCCAAGGGAAACACACTCTGATTTCCCTTAATTAAACACAAATGCATGCATATAGTTCAAGTTTTCCATATGATATGGCAAGTACAGGTTGTACATTCTGCTGAATGCTGTATTCATTTAATATAACATCTCATCTGTGTTCTTAATGTCACTTTTTATCTACAGCTGATTCTGTATTGCACTATTGCACATGATGTACTGTAATGCTTGATTCTGAGCTTAGTGTATCCACTTGGTGAAGAGGTGGTTCTCATCTTAGATGATCAACTCTTTAAATGTTTGACATAAACTATTTAACAAAGTAAACATTTTGTTAGCACTTCTCTCAAGTGTTAACCAAAAAGTTACTGTTTCAAAGGAGTAGAAGCTCTGAGGTGGTCCAAGATCCTTAGTCCTTTATTGAAGCTTGGGTAAGTCTTCACTTCTTGTATCAACTGCAAGCACTTTCAGTTAAATTGTAATAAATCTTTACTTTTAGATTGTATGGGGAGTATTCTTCATCATCGTGGCACTGCTCTTCACTGTCTCTCTGTTCTTGTCAAAGTAAGTAATTTCAGTATTTTTTCTTAACCACTTAAACTGCATGATTTCTGTTCTAACATAAAAATCAGGGGTGGTTTGCTTCAAAAGTGAGCCCACTTCTTTCCTATGCTACATTTTTTTAACTAGAGCTGCATTTCTCAATTAGTATATATTACACTGAGCAAAATGTACTAAAACAGATTAAAAAAAAACCATGGTTCAGCTTGATTGACTGTATGCTGCTAAAAGCAGTTCTGATCCAGCAGAAAAATTAAGCATAGACTTTAAGGAAGTTTAATTCAGACTACAGAAGTACTCTGACTGCTTGAATGAATCTTAATGCATGTAGGTACTTCTTGGGCTGGGTAATAGATGCTTAAATTCTTGCATTAAATGACATGTATAATCCATTATGAGGTGCATTACATCGTAATTGCTTCATGGTGTTGAAATCAATACAGCTAGCTGCAAATCTGATGAATTTCAATGAAGATTGACACTAACCATAGGTCTCAAATGTTGGCATTTTTAATTTTGCAGACTGGGCAAATAAGCCCTGTGACCCAAACTAGGGACAAGCTAAAATGCCAAGGAGATGCAGAAATTGATATACCTTTTCACAGGACAAGTACAATGAGTGTGGTAAAACAAAGCATGTGTCTATGTAGATATGAAAAAGCTGTCAGTCTCTGAGCTTAGTTAAGCTTCATTTTGAGCTGCCCTTTAAAATCAAACTGAAGACAAAGCTCTGGGAGAACCATAGTACTTAGAGAGTTTTTCTTAATTGCTGCAGTTTGGACAAAGCTCTGCATTCAGCTGGCTTCGACTCGGGATTTATAATTTTAGGAACTAATCTGACCAATCCACTGAATATGTTGTTACCTGTTCTTCAAACAGTAAGTAAAAAAACTGGTGATATACATATGTATGGATGCTTCTCTCTGTTTGCTGGTAAGCTGTCAAAGGCAAACTACACTGCTCCCCAAGTAATTCATTAAAATAAAAAACATCTAGATATGTTGTGTGATTCTGTGTTCTGTAAAATCAAGGCAACTTCATTGTTAACAATCTTTCAGTTATTAGATACTGATAAGAAAGTCTTGATTTGCTGGAAGAAGGTGCTGCTTGAAACATATTTTCATTTAATGATAACATAGAGGCAATGAAGAATGACATCACTTGTAGTTATCGTATACAGAATAAAAGCAAGTTTTTCCAGTGCCCTACCTTACATTCTAGTCGTTGGTGTTCTTTGTAGTTTATCCCCCTTCAGTGAAGTAAACGCATTTTTTCACTTTTTAGTATATTTATTGCACCTTCAAAGATATATTATACTCTGCCTTTGTATATTATAGTAATGCTTTAGTTTTGGGGGAAAAAAAACCCTACATAAGAAAAGCCATCTGTTAACTTCAGTAGGGTTGGAAGGCAACAAGGCCACATAGGAATTTGGCAATCAGTTGTGGGTAAGCTAAGAAAAACAAAAGCCATATTGCAAACTAGTGCCTTATTCTCCCCTATTTGAATTCTTTCCGTATTCTTGTTGGCACAATGCATTCCTTCCCCATGGTTTCCAAAATTATTGAACCCCTAAGCTTGCAGTTTACTCAGAAAAGTAATGTTCAGCAGTGGTATTATCTCAAGCTATTATTAGTGTAAATCTAAAATTAAGTTTTATATGCAAATATGTTCAGAAACATTTAAAAAGAAAATGCCTGTACAGTCCTAAAATGACTGCTGCCACTGTGGACTTATTTAAATGTACTCTCAAGAATGGAGTTAAATATTTATTGTCCTAAAAATGTATAACACTATGAAAATAAGGCAAGTTTTAAATTAAGAAAAATGCTCAGTTGCTTTCCCAAACTTACTGTATAAGCTATATTAGCTGTGTTTGGAGCCAGGTCTGTAAAACTTAAGTGAAAGCTCTTCTACTACTTCAGATGCTATAAGTAGAAACTACTTATTTAGCTTTAAGTGGGGGAGGAACTTGTTTTCTTGGGTTTTTAACTGCTTTTGTTGTTCTTGTTTTAGGTTTTCCCTTTGGATTATATTCTTATTACAACTATTGTTATGTATTTTATCTTCACTTCAATGGCAGGGATTCGAAATATGGGTATATGGTTCTTCTGGATAAGGGTAAATATGACTTAAGAGCTTAGTTTGTAATATTCAGTAAGATGTTTAACAAATATGTGATATCGAATATATTTAATAAGTAATCCTAATTTATGTACTGCTTCATAATGCTATTTGCAACATCCAGTATTTGTCTGTATACCTAATAAGTGTTAGAAGGCTGTTGTACAATTTTCACTGCTTTCAGAAGGTTTCAGATGAAAACTGATGTCTTACTTTGACAAGCAATACAGTCAGCTCACTCAAGCGTTTAATCAGTGGCAATTTGGCTTCTAACTTTTCTAAACTGCAGTATATAAGATTCTTACTTTGAGTATTATTGAATTTTATGGTCAAAATCTGAAATATGCATACAGTCAGTAGTGCTTGCCTTGCTTTTTTGGTGGCAGGCAAGTTTAATGTGATTAGAGATATAACAGTACAGTGATATTGCAGGGCAGGGGGGTTGGGCCTAGATGATATTAAGGTCCTTTCCAACCCTAACCATTCTATGATTCTATGATATCTAAATATGTTGCAAGTAATACATAACTATTTGAAAAAGCAGCTTTATATCCAACAGGATGCTATTCATGCTGGTGATGCTTGGTTAAATATTTCCCTGCTTCTGTGCCTGCTTTCCTTTTAATACTGTTACCCTTTCATTTGCTGACACTCAAAAATTGCGAACAGCGACCCCGAGTCCTTGCAAGGGCTGTTGGTTTTGGTCTTCCATCACTTACCCTTCAGCTGCCAGCCTCTTTACCCTAATATGATATACAGGTTGAGGCTTTGGGGTTACAGAATAGTGGTATCTAGAGGGTAAAAACAAGGGGTTATATTGTTCCCTGCAGTGTAAAGTCGAAAAGATAGCAGCATATGGTGTGCAAGTTTTTTCAGGGCCTGGGAATACTCTTTCATAACTCCTCTGTTTCTAGATCTGATTAGAGGTGTATTCACAGACAGCACCTCACCGTGACCAAAGAATGCAATATTCTTTGACAAAGCAAGGCACAGTTTATCAGTGATAGGCAACACTGTTTAAATCTTGCTACTAACTGCTGGTGCATAAATATTCTGTTCGTTACTATGAATAATGTGACTAAATAGCTGTGCATTGAAATTTAGGTAAATGTACCTGGAAACCTGCTTTGACTTATTGGAATTTAGTTGCCAGAGGGTAATTTTAGCAGCCTCCCACTTCTTAGTAGAATTAGAGGTGTTACTTGAATTAAACAAGTTTTTAAAGGTTGGGGCGGGGGAGGAGGGAGGGAGGAGAGGGAAGAAAAATCTTTCATTACGTTAATATTTGTGTTTTCTGGTTTTAGCTTTATAAAATCAGACGAGGAAAAACTCGACCTCAAGCACTCTTGTTTCTGTGTATGATACTTCTGTTGATAGTTCTTCATACAAGTTACATGATCTACAGTCTTGCCCCTCAATATGTAATGTATGGAAGCCAAAAATACCTGGTACAGGTGAGATGTAATACCTTTTAAAAAAAAAATACCTTCTGTGTTAAATGTTCTGTTTACAGCAACTTTTAAAGCTAGACCCATTCTCAGTTTTGAAGGCTCCTTTGTAGCCAGGTTTTTTTAAACTACTAGTAGGTCTCTTGATAACACTCAGACCAGAAGCTGGTTGTACTGTATGTTACACAACTTAATTTCTAGATCATTTTCAGACAGCATAAAACTGAGTTTTGCTTTACTTCTTTTGATGAGACAGCTGCTAGCTTCTAGGTTTTGTGCTGGTCCACTTAGGTTGCAATGGCTGTCTGCAGCTGATAGTTTTTATGTGTATTTTTCTGAGAAGTGACAAAGATAACTTGCTACAGTGATCAGATAACTTGCTATAATAATCAGAATGAAGCTAAGTAGATGCTGATTATCACATTTCAGATACTTTGAACTGCCCAACTTATTGGAACTCATTGCAGTTCTTCTAGCTAATGTTCTATGGTATTTAGTAGTAAGCACTTTTATTGTTTCACTCTTGTGTAGTTGGAGGTTTTGTTTTTCAGGTCCTTTTTCTTCTGTACCTGAAGGCTTTAGTTCTTGTATGTCATCTTAGTTTGAGTGGAGGTCCGCATATTTATGCGGAAGTTCGAAGTTACAAATCATAAGCATCTTGGGAGGTTCTGTGGACAGCTGTTTACCAAGATCTGGTACCCTGCAGGCTTTGTTAGATCTGATATTGCAAATGTAGGTTGCTAACTGGGTCATGAACTCGTTGTTTATATTCAAACACAATGGCGTTTAAGTTTCGCAAAGAAAAATAATTGAGCCAAAGTGGTTGGGAGAAGGGATTTAAATGAAACCAAAGTAACCAGGTGCTGCTTTAAATATTTGGAATACTTCTGTTAGTTTTCTAGAAGGCTGTGCCTCTGGAAGAACACACTGCTTTAAAAAAAATAAATTACTCGGCAACCTTCTTCAGCTGAAAATTTTTAATCAAGTGTGTAACTTATCCCTATAAAGTCTTTTAGTTTAAAGAGAGTAGATGCAGAATGCTTAGAGCAGAAGGATTTCAAGGAGAAATTGAAGGAACCTGATCAACTTAAATTTGTTGAGTGGATGTGGAAGAATTGCCACTGGAGGAAGTGAAGCATCCAATAAATGCTACTTTCCTGCTGTCTTTGTATCTAAATTGTGTCTGGTAATGGAAGGTTGGTCATCCTGATACCAATCCAAGCACAATAATAGAATCACTGCGGGGACTTGAATATTTGGTGTTTAGGAAGTTTAATGCATTGTTATTTGATTTTTATGCTAGATACAACTAATGCAAAATAAACATGCTTAGACGTCTATACATTTGCTCAATTTGTCAGAATCTGTGTAGTAACAGCAAGAAACTGAGCTGAAAATCAGTTTAGGAAAGCTGCTTGCTTCTATGGTGAGTTTACATAGGAGTCCTGTCATGATTACTTACTGTGTATGTAGTCTAGAACATCGTATTACTGATTTAGATATAGCTGTGAACTCAAGTCCCTGCAAAACCCACTTTGTTGTCTTTTGGGGGGGTTTTATATTGTAGGGTGGTTGTATATCTCTAATTACAGTGCAGAACCATCATAGGTGAAAGGGTGGGCAGGATGATTTCATTCAAAACCTTACCAAGCTAGTCTCTAAGCCTTTCAGACCTAAGAATCTTCCGTGATAAAACTTGCAGAAAAAGTGGAATATTGAAGAGAAATAAAAATAATAGAGACTGTAGCTAGCAGTTCTGTTTGTTATGAATCAAATGACAGTGTTTCAGTAAGTGCAGAAGGACTGAGACTTAGACAGCTAACATGCAAGTGTTTGTTACAACAGATAATATCTGACCATAGATACATAGTTTGTAATCAAAAGGGTCAAGAGAGTGAAATGAAAAGGGTCAAAGGAACACAGCAGTAAGGAGTCTTTTATGGCATTCAAATTCAGGTATTGAAATGCAGTCCTGGTCAGTGCTGCAAGGAGGATTAACTGGAATGGTTGAGTAGAGCTACAACACTTCATTTAAAGGATTAAAGAAATGTTAAGGTCAAGATAGTCATCCTGGGTCTTTAGCTTCTTTTGTCCCATTTCAAAGGGCTTTGTTTAAAGTACATCAGATAACTTGGGTAGAAACTAGTTTTATTGTTAAAGTAACATGAGGCTTAAAGAGTATGCTGGTAAGTCACACCTGGACTTCTCTGGCATACCAAGTAAATACAAAGGTTTCAGACAACATCCTCTCTAACAATCTTTCAGAATGCACCAGACATTTTCTTTGGCTACCCTGATAACTGGATGTTAAATTTATATATTTTGAAATGAGGAGAGATGGTGCCTGGGAATGAAGAGGAGGGACAGATTTTTCTGTGGGTGTTAGCGGTGAAGAGGTTCTCAAGAGTTATGAATCAGTTATTGTGGAACTGAGAAGGGGTCAAGAACATACACAGGAACTGGGCAAATGAAATACATTTTGTGCATATGGCAAGCTTCCCAATAATGCACCAGTTTGCTTGGACAGTCTAGATGTTCATTGCTCACACACACCACAGTCAATTTCATCATATAAAGTAACACCATTGGTAACCGACACTGTATAAAACCAAACAATAAATAAGCAATATTCCAAGTTGACACAGTGGATGAGTGGGCTGCTAAACATGTCAGAATCTGGTGGTTCACAGAAAGACGGTGTGTAAAACCAGCACTTCTCCCTTTTCTTTGCTCTACAGTAAATCCCAATGTAGTAACCTATCAAACTAATTTGTAACCAAAATCTATAGTGATGCATTAGACAAGTTAAAATTCTGTTTGAATCTTGAACTGTTTCCTTTAGAGACTGTTACTTTTTTACTTTGAAGTGCTGTAGACTTCTGGCAACTGAGTATGTAGAAAAATGGAATTCTTGTGAGGCCATTAATGTTCGATAGACCTGGGCCTCTTGCTTTATTTAAGTTTTTGACCATTAGGGAGTTCAAAGCATGTGTCCCCAGTTAATCAAAAGTGTCTTCAGCTGTGATGTCTTTAGAAATTTTTTGTAAGTTTCTTTTGGATACAGTACCCTTACTAAAGCCCTATACAGGACTTTGGTCAACTTGCATAGCTCTTCCAACACTGAGGAACACTTGGCTTCATCTCTTGAGACAACCTTTGTAACATCTGCTGAACAGCCATGAGTCTGTTTATAGACTTTCACAAAGGTAAAGATTTCTGTCCCCATGTTGGCCTTCTCAGTTTTGTAGCAAAAACATAACTTCGCCCATTCTTGAAGTGTAATTGCTATTTCTGTTCAACAAGGCCAAGTTTTGTTTTCCATTTGTCTGAAAGACCACAGCTTGCTGATGTTTCTACCTAGTGGACCTGTAAGACTTGACTAGCCCAGACAGGAAATAAAAGGCCAGAAATGGCAATAGGTGACACACTCTTCTCCAGAGGTTCAGAACAGTAGCAGTCACTTTCGCTCCTCAGCCTTCACAAATCTGTAGGAGTGGAGGGCACCGAGCGTCTTCATTGTCGTAAATCGGGAATCCAGAAGTATTGCTTAGATGGCTAAGTACGCATACAGGTCACGTAGATCCCGCACATAAACAGGAACAAATTAGATATGCTGTAACCTAACCCTTTATACCTGTTGCATGATAGATAGCTATTTTCTGAAGTGTCCAAAATCTGTTGGCTCTTGAAGCACACACTGAGTTACTGTACTTGGTTTTGTCTTCTGCTTGCCCTTGAGGCAACCTGCTTTCAGCTTTGGACCAGATGTAATATCTGGAACACTTAGTGTTTTATTCTGACAATACTCTCACTAAAAACATCTGAGACTTTACGTGGTCTACTGCATAATGTTTGGTAAATTATTTTGAAGAAGTGTTCTGTAGACACATCTCTGCTGTCACTTACACATCTTTTCCATGTCCAGTCATTTTCTCTGCACCCTGTGGGACAAAAGGGACTCTACCTCAAGTGTATGTATGCTAATATAAAAGTGCTGAGATGACAGCATTAAAGGCAAAGTTCTTGTACTTCTTCTGGAAAATTGGCACAACTTGTGTGCCCCTGAAGTATCTGGATACTAACACACACAGCAGGCAAGACAAAGCAGGAGTTAGAAGTTTGCATAGAAGGTCTACAGATTAGAAACGTGGTGAAATAGTTTCCACAGACAGAGTGCTGCTGTGGCTAGATATGGGCTCTAAGAGCATCAGGCTGGGATGGCCAAGAGGGACAGTTGGCCCTTACGTGAGACAGCAGTGGGAATGCATGGAGTTTTGCTTTGGGGTGGGTAAGCCAGCTAGATGCTTACAGGTTAGGATTAGAGGACAGATCATCGTGGGTGATATTGTCTGCTGAGGAAGTAGCAAATAACTTCATGTTCATAGTTCCTGGTCCTCATAGGATACCTTGGGCCATACAGGTATCCACTGCAAAACCAATGCAGTTGAATACAAGCAATCCAGGAGGCATCTGGAGTGTACTGATGACAACTTCCTGATGTAGGCAACTGAGCTGAAATAGGGAGATGTTGTCTTGGACCTGGTGCTGAAAACAAGGAAGGAGTGATTGAGGGCAGTCTTGGCTGTAGTGAGCATGAAGTGGTGAAAGTTCAGAATCCTGAGAGAACAGGGCAAACAGTAGGATCACAACCCTGGACTCTGTAGATTTTGACCTGTTCAGGTCTGCTTGGAGGAGTTCTAGTATGTAGAAATAAATTCTGGTTTCTATGTGCTAGAAGGTAGAAAGGTGCTGGCAAATACATAATTAATTTTTTTTTTAATTTCTTTCACTGGCTGAAGTGATACTGAGCTCTTGCTGAGTCTTACCAAAAATACTGTTAGGTTTTAGTTAGTTCTTGAATATAAGCAGTAACTTCCAGCTTGTTTTCTGTGTGTTAGCTTTGTGTAATAGTTCTGTAGTTTGCTTTATGTATTACTATCTCTATAAAGAATATATTAAACGATCTATATTATTACTATATTAAAGAATCTTAAATTTGCATGTTATAAATTCTGGCTACATAAAAATGAAAATGGTGTTCAACTGATAGAGATTACCATTCCTTTTAGCATGGCAAATGTGGCCCTTAATTTTTTATTAGGAAGGGTTAATACTATGAAATGCTTTCCTTTTTATCACTGGTTTGGAATACATGGTTGGTTTTGGGGTGGGTTTTTTTGGGTTTTTTTTTTCATGTCTGCTTTGTGAGAAGGTGGAAATATCTCAGTGAATGCTTATAAGGTTTGTCTTGTATAGGAGAAAAGAAAGGATTGCTAGGGGAAGAGAGTATTGCTAGGGAAATAGATGCTGTTTTTATGACTTTAAGGTACACTCCAGTGCCTTTGGCTTGTGAAAAGCATTTAGAGTTGGATCCAGGTATGTCAGAAGTCTTAAATCATAGGAGTGTTCATGGAGACAAGAATGACACTAGACCTGCAAAAAAGCATAGATGTTATCAAAGGAAACCCACAGGTCTAGCTATTGTTGCATGTCATATTTTCAATTCTTACTATGTAAAAAGTAAAGTGATTAAAGCTAAGATGGAATTTTGAAATGGGAAGATGGATCTGTGCTTTTTGTAATGCCCTCCCTTGTACAGTGTATAATGCTGTTGTTTTGAAAGAAGCACTTTTTATGACTGAGCAGTGTAAGCTGCAGTGGTGTCAGCCAGCTGGAAAGCATCCTGGAGATGGGCTACTGCTGAATGTACACCGAATAACTGAAATTTCATGTATTCTGTTCTTACCCTATTTTTCTATCTACTCATTGTTCTTGTACTATTGGTTCCACTTTAGTTCCTGATTTCTATACTCTTTTAGGACCAATTTTTTCTAAGGCAGTAATGGTCTCCATGCTTCCGTGTGTTTGCATGAATCAAAACTAACTGCTTGTACAGACTGCTGTGTCTTAGGTTGGACATGTGGTTGTTTCTCTTGAATGTTTAGATTTAAAGCTGAATTTACTTGATACTAAAACTTTCTCAAGTTGTTGGATAAACAGTTTTATGTATCAGCTTGTGCTGATTTCTGGGAGGTTTTAAGGGACATTTTTTCTTCACCCTGAAGAAACTCTGTTGACCCTTATTGATTTCCTTAGAGGGCTTCCTGTTTAGGAAATTGAGGGTGATAGTAAATACAGTAGATATGAGACCCTTTGAAGTGAATTACTGTATGAAGAAATTGGTGAGTACAAAGGATTTGCATTGAACTCTACTAAAATTATTCACTGATTATTCAGAAGTAAATGTGGTATATAAAAAGTTTAAGTAGTCTCTGAAAGGGTCGGATTTTCAAAGATTTGGCACATGTAAACAGGAGTATTTGGGTTTTTAGTAGTTCACTTGAGCATAATTTGTCTTCCTCCACTCTGGCTATCTAAGAATATCAGATACTATCATCTGCCTCTTGGAACAGAAGATTGCTATATTGGGTATCATTATGCAAGCTTAACACTTCCATGGTGTCTTCAGCACCAAAGCTGAATTCCAGATTCATTTTATGCCCAGCAAAAGAAGGTTTAATTTGAGATGAAGCTTTTATTTTTTCATAAGTCTTCAGAAAGAGCACAAGCTATCATTTTTTCCAAATGAAAGCATACTCAAATGTTCATGTTGTATCACTTACAGCTTACCTTGCATATGCTGTTCAAAAGTAGTCTTAATCCTTTTGAATATTGTAAGAGGTTTGTCAAAGCCTTTTTCATAAAATTAATAATTTATTGGGAGATGTTTGTTTCAGGGACTATCATTATGTATGAAGAACATCACTGGTAGGCTAGTGTATTAATGTTCTTGTATTTATAACACAGAGTAATAAGACAATTGATGGCCAGCCAGGGAATGTGACATTTGTATCTAAAGACTGTGATGCAGATGCACCTGAAGGTAAGATGAATTCATTTATTTCCTATGTGATATGTGCATGATCAGCTGTAGTAAGTGTCTCAATCTCTTCATGGCTTTGTTCGCTTCAGTCTAATATGAAGTTCTGATCTATAGCTATGTCCAGGAAACAGCTTGCTTACAACTTAAGTTGTTTGAAGAAATGTTGTGGGGGTTTTTTTTTTTAATAGAAATCATGTGTAACAATGCATTTTGCTTCACTTTAAAATCTCCTATTTGCTTTCACATGTATGTAGAAGACCTTAAAAATGAACCCTAGCCAGTGAACAGTTTAGTATCTGAAGTGTTAATTCTGTGTATATGTTTGTCAAACAGTCAGAAGTAATTTTGCAGTGTACTCAGGAAAACCAAGGTCTGAACTTCTCAGTGTAACTTGTCAGATTAGAAAACTTAATTCTTGCTAAGATGTAAATATGGGCTGTTCTATGAACAACAATATCACTGGAACCAGACAGCTTGGGCTATCCTGTAGTCCTCTTAAGTTATCATTCCCTATGACATCTCATATAACTCATGCTCGTCTGTGGTATTAAACACCCATTTTGACCAGCTATTTGGGCAGAAGATGGTTTGTGGAAATTCTGGAGCTGTGAGTAGCAGGCAGATGGATAACTGTGAAGCTTTTCTTGACTCTCTATCTATTCAGGCCTTACTGTGGTGTGTTGGTTACTTTGTTACTTGGGGTTTGTTTTTTTTTTTGGTTTTTTTTCTTTTTGAGAATGGTAGTATTTTACTTAGGCTTTATACCTCTATGAAACTTAGTTAAAGCTGGATTTGTTTTTTTACAAAGTTAGCTTTCCCCTTCCCTCTGCATAGAAACACTTTTTGCAGTTGCTATTAGTACTCTCCATTGCAATACTGATACTACTGTTTAAGGTCACCATCAATTCTCTTGATTGCTTTGGTCTCTTGTTTCAAAAAATTGATCTTGGCAAAAGATTTATGGCCTTCAGAATGGACCATATTTTTTCAGGCTGAAGCTCTCAGTTGTTCTCATCCTGGCAAACATTCAGTTCCTCTGAAGGAGCTGGGAAGAGGAGTTAAATTATGTATGCCTTTATATACTTACAAAAGTCTTGAAAGTGTTTGTTAATTGATGGGAAAGATAAGATGAGAATACAGGACAACTGGTTTTTATCAGTATTCTGTAACTACTGAATTCTGACTTTGCTTCTAGATGCTCTTAGTAGCTCCTCAGGTTTTCTTCCTACTTGTGTTACTGGGAAAGGTAGTATTTCATTTTTAATAATTTTTGTACTAGTGGAGGTAATCTGACCGTTAGTTCTTTTTTCCCAAGTCTGTCAGGCCGTAGTCTCTTCTGCAAGGTCGTTCCCTTGTATTTAAACTCTTCTTCAAATTTATTTTGTAGGTGTTCATATAGTTTCCCAAGGGGGATGGATTTTTCTTCTGTCTCCACTATACCTCAAATAAGTAATTCATCCACAGTTATTTTTGACAGCTATTTTTAGACTTAATGCAGTTTTGAGCATTTTGATATTTTGACAAATATGATTGGTTGTCACACATTTTCTGATTAAAGATAGAAACTTCTCTGCATCGGAGTTTAGAAGAGAAAAATTTGTCATCTTTCAAAATGAGATCACTTTGGGCAGGTTGAACAGGTCTTTGCTTCTTGTAAATAGCTTCTTGGCTTGGCTAGTATCTGCTGGGAGAATATACTCCCTGGCATTGATAAAGCTCATTAGTCTTGACTTTTAAAGGAGAAATTCAAATAGTTTCATTTACTCAAACTTTATTGCTTCATAGTAGGAACTGAGAATGGGCTGAAATAAACTTTCTGAACTCCACCTATGCTTGAGTACTTTGAATACTGATGCTTTAGGCTAGTGTTCTGATACGCTGAACACAAGAGTTGGACTGTATAAATGATGGCTTTGTTTTGTCATTAACATGTGGTGATGCACTGGGTATCTCTGAGTCATGCTCTTCTTAAGAGGAAAGAGGTGGAGAAGGTATTGATATACTATACTAACCCAGTGTAAATAGAATATAGATGGATATTTCTTAAGTGGGAGCATTGATGTGTCAACAGGCTATGGTGGAGTTATTTTAATACAGATACAGTCAGGCCATTAAAGTGTTTTTGTAAATGAAAAAAAGTTTCTTTTGTAATTAAAAAAAAAACCCATAAGTGAAAACACAATTTTTGTAGAAATCAGAAATGTGATGCTTGGCTTGGAATACCTGCCACTTTTAATACCTGATAATGAAAACTAATTAAAGTAACTGTTGTGGAACCTACTTCTATGCTCTGTGATCATATAGAATATGTTGACAAGTGAAACTTATTTTGAAGGTAGGAACTAGATTTTTTAAATACAATTGCTCTTGTTTTTCAAGGATAATAGACACAGAGCAAAAACAGATGCAGCTAACTTCAAGTTAAGATAAAGGTTGACCAAGCACTTGCAGTTTTTATTGACTTCTTTGGTACTAGGGTTTTATCTTATGTAAACCAGTGAACTGGAACTAAATGCAAATATTGATTTGTCCTCTCAGTGCTGTATTTTGTTTTATTTAAACTGAATTAATTCTAACAGGTATTTTTCCTTAAGCATAAAATAAACTGACCTTTTAACGGCTCTGCTGATAGATAATGTTATAGCAATCTGCTCTGATGTATTGAATACTCGGATGTTGTAGGTGTGATCTCTACTTACTGTAACTACATTTTTTTTCTTTCTGAGATGGTAGAAGAGACCTGAACTTGTAGCAACTAATAATTTCAAACCTCAGTGTTGTTAAAACTCTAGTCTTTAACGGGCAGTGTTTTGTATTTGTTTCAAACCAGTGTTTGGCTTGATGAAAAGGACAATTATACCTCTTGGAGAAAAATAAGACAGCTAAAATACAATCTTATAAAACCCACACTCTATATATTAAACTGCAAATGCTTATTTGTGGAGTTTTGGCATTATATTGCCTGCTTTCATGCAGAGAAGCTTGTGTTGTGAAATGGGTCATTTAAGGTTGCTCAAAGAGTGGCCATCAAAGATAGCAAGAGCAGTTTTAATATGAATTTATGAAAGTGCAGTTTAACAGAATTTGATGACAAGGTTCATTCTGTTACTTATTACATGGATGAAGCATACAAAAGGAAGTTGAGGTAAAATTGAGCTAAAAATTATTGGTAGAGACATGAGGGAGACTGTCCTGTTGGGTCATGAGGTTTAGAATAGAGCCCTTTGCTCTCTGAACTCCCGGACAAGCCTAGTTGTGGCTGGGCTTAGTCTCTCAGAAGGTTACAGGAGGCCCTCCCTTATTGAGTCATGGAGTTCAGAATACACTCCCTTGTTTTCTAAGCTCCTGGTGGAGCCTAGGTGTAGCTAGGTCTAGTCCTAGTCTCAGACTTAGTCAGTGGCTGATACCTAAAGGGTTACAAGTGTATCAATTCACCAAAGGTATGATTTTTACACAGCTTTTACATAGCAGCAGTTTGTAGTTTTGAGGTGGATCTTAACATTTACGAAGTGAGTCAATGGAATTTACTACACTTGCTATAGCAATCTGTACACAAATATGCACACATACAGAGAGTCAAAGACATATCCAGGTATGCCTGTTAAAAATTCCTGAGCTCAGTGAAATACTAATTTCAAATGTCTTGGCTGTTCTCTGCGGGTGAGGGTTGAACATTGAGGAGTGGGGATTCTTTGGCCCAGGCTGCACTGTCAGCTTTTGGCAGCAATTCTCCAATGATCACAAACTCAAGTGTGTGAGCTCTGAGGGGTATGCCTCTCAAAGGGAGATGCTGGTCACAGCCCATTGCAGTCCAGGACTGCTCAAAGGGCCTCACTTAAAAGCACTGTTTATAGGTTCGCAAGATGATTGGCTTTAGTCATTAGTGAATTTTCATCCTGGCCACAACCCAAGTTGGCAATTATTTGAAACATTTCAGAACTCCAGTAACAATGATATGATTCCATTTTGTCTACAATCAAGGGAAGGAATGTTCTGAGGCTGTCAGGGGATAACTGATTATCTCTGTTCTTGCTTCCTACCTTAGCCTAGCCAGAGAACAGGAGTCCCTGGTATGATCAGTGCCTCCCTCCTTAGCCATCTAATTTTCTGGTATGGTCAAGACTTTTCATAAGCTTTCTAAATAGTCTTTTGGAGCAGCACATTTAATATATTTGTTATAGGCAAAACAAGCATTAGTTTTCAGTGTTCAATACAGTTGGACCAAGACCTCAGTTTGATCATTTTTTTCAAGGACTAATGCCAGCTGAACTGGTCAAGGACTAGTGACAGTTCCAAAGTTCACTTGAGCATAAAGTCAATCAAAGGAGTTCAGTTGTGTGATAAAGGCTCTTGCAGCTGGACTAATGCACTGAGAACTTGCTGAACAGATTAATGATATTTCATGTAAATGAGCAATGACTCAGCTGCAAACCTGTTCACAAGACTTTTGCAACCTTAATTATGAGATCTGATGCACACTATCTCCCTTCTTCTCGACCAAAAATCCCATGAAACGTGTTTTTTTTTTTTTTTTAAGCATGATTCATTTTACATGTGTAACATGCTATGACTACCACTTGGATTCTTTAATTTCCTTAATTGGGGAAATGAGCCCTTCCCAAGGCCTGCTAAATGCTGAGTACAATCTGTCTGCTGGTCCTTTTGCATAGACCTACACTGACTCCAGTTGCATGTAAAGTGGGAAAGAAGAAAAGTTATCTCCATTTTTATGGCTTTGAACTGGGCAGGACTTACTGTGCTAATTAGATCTGTGCCTTCTCTTGTCAGCTGGAAGTCAACAAGTGCAAGACCTTGAGCTTTATTTTAGCCTGAATAAAGTAGACATTACTCAAGCTGAAAAGGTACCCCAAATATGAATACCAAAACAGGAGCATATTACTTGTTCTTCAGAGAAATCCAGAAGGTGTGCAAAGTGAAAGCACAAGTTGCTCAGAACCTTCAATATTAGAAATTTAATGTTAAATCTTATGACTGTAGAT